TCCCGGAGCAGGTCCAGCTCAGGGTCTTCGTGCTGCCGATCCCGATCACCCGCCAGCAGACACACCTTCAGGTAGGGGGGCCACAGGGGGGGCTCTTGGGACTGTCCTTGCCCCCTGCGCTTTTGCCCCAGTGCATCGCAGCCCTGGATCTCTCTGCTCTGCTGGCCCAAGTGATAAAGATGGTAATTAATGAAAGAAAACCTATCAAAATAATTGGTACTACATCAGCAGCTGCTGCAAACAGAGGCCATGGCCAGAGGAGGCAGTACTGGGCAAAGCAGCCCAGGGTTTCTGTGGCTCTGGGAGCGATGAGACACAGGCAGGGCCCAGAGCTGTGCCTGGGGAGGCCTGAGTGCCAGCTGAGAACCTCCTCTGGCAGCTATCAGAAGGACTTTCTGGTGTCCTTTCCAGTGTTTCCAGACCCCATCTCTCCTCGGCTGCTGGTGCTCTGGAGCGCTCGCCAGCCCGCTGCTGCAGGCACCTCCTGCCTCAGCTTCTCTTTGATGTTTGAAGATTTCCTCACCCAGATTCCCTCCCACCCCCGCGTCTGACCTCCTCTTCCTCGCTTCCCAGGTGTGAGAATGGCAAGCAGTGTCAGGGCGGGAATGGGCACCGGGGCCAGCTGGAGAAGAAACGGGAAAAGGCCATCGTAAGTGACCAGGGACCCCGTGCTGGGACAAAGCAATCCCCAGCCCTCGGTTCATTGCCCACTCCGGAAGAGCAGCGGTGGGGCCCATTAGCCCTGGCTTCAGCATCCCTTGGTGCAAGGCCAGTGTTAAACAAGGACATGGGGGTGGAGGGGGGAGAGAAAAACCCAATGTGAAGCGGAAGCCGCCAGCGATTGGCAACACACGGAGTCCTTGGCCCAGAAGTGCCCAGAGTGTTCTGCGCCAGAGCTGCGGTGCAGTCGGTGCTGGCAGGAGGTGGGGTGAGCTGGGGAACCCCTGAAGCTGCTCAGCCGTTACACATGTGGTCCTGCTGCAGAGGCAGCCCCATACACCAGGAACCCAGCGTGGAGCTGGGTGGGAGCTGGGCCTGTGGGGAAATAACTTGTTCCTCTGTGCTGTTCTGTACACATATGCGCGCGCGCTCACAGATGCCTCTCTGGCATTTTTTCCTGGAATGCAGTTGGATTTTGCTCATGGCAACATCTCCTGGCATCTTCAGTGGGAGAAGCTGCAAAAGCCGTAGAAATGCAGGAGAAATTTCAAGAAGGGGATGGTGGCTGCTTCAGCCTGGCCATGGCTGTCCCCTGCAGCACTGGTGTCCTGGGGGTGACCCCTGGAGACACCAGGCCGTGCCTGCAGTGGCACGGCCCCACCGCAGCCTGATCCCGGTGCTGGCTCGCGGGGGCTCCTCGGTAGCCCTGCATTTCCAGTGCTCATCGGCAGCGCAGCGACGGGGCCCCAGAGCCTGAAACCTTTCGCTTGCTTTGCCAGGGGGAAGGCCGGGTGGTGTACGTCAGAAACCTCTCCAGCAGCATGAGCTCCAGCGAACTGAAGAAACGCTTTGAAGTGTTCGGTGAAATTGTGGAGTGTCAGGTCCTGTCCAGGACTAACAGGTGGGTGGGAAGCGAACTGGGGCTGGGGGCTGCAGTGGCTGCAGAGCACCCCTCTGCCCAGGCAGCAGCAGCCCTGCTGGGCGGCACAGGAGTGCCGGGGGCGCGGTCGTGCCGCTGGGATGCGAGGCTCTGCACCACGCCGGCACCCTCATCAGCCGTGCCCGCGGGGAC